ATAGAATACCTATATTTTGCAAGTTTTATTACTCGTAGATAATGTTTTTGTGTTATCAAAATAGAATGATCTTTTTTTGCCCTCTCTCTTTTTTGTGCCTTTGGTAAGACGATATATCTTTACAGTAAACGAAATAACAAAACACGCGGATTTGCATTAGCATTCCGTTTAATAACGTGCTCCGAAGGTCTATTATTTTTTTAATTATACTATTTTCTTTTGTGAACCTTTACTTTTGTCCTGGTAAGTTTTCGGTCAATAACTAAATTAACAACGGCTAGCGGTACGCGAAAACAAGTTTTTGAAAATGATTCACACCTCCTGCCGCATGACATAATTACTAATTCAAAGAAAAAGCAACAGCAACATATCACAGCAGTACAACAAGAGACAAGTATGGCTGATGCTTTATCAACTTTAAATTTGCAAAATCAATATAAAGAGATATGCAGTTTTCCAGGCGATGGATCGAAAACCATCGACGAATTTTTAGAAGCAGTCCAGCACACATGCGATGTTGTAAAAGGGGATGATTCAGCACGATATCAAACAATTTATTCAAATCTTGATCTTGAAGCAAAGCAGTGGTATCAGGAAAATAAAAGTGGTTTGACAACGTTAACAGAACTGAGAAAAGGTTTGCGGGAACGGTACAAAAATACAAGATCACCGGTCGATATTTTGCAAAGAATTGAACAACGGAAACAACAACCGAACGAATCTGTTCAAAATTTTTACGATGACTTGACACGTCTTTGTAAATCATTTCCAAACGGGTTACCTGAGTCGTATGTTTTGGCAAAACTGACGCAAGGCATAAAACTTGAGTTACGAGAACAAGTTTTACGACAGTTCAATGCAGCAGACACACAGACTTTAGCAGAGTTTTTAAAAATTTCACTATCGGAGGAATCTTTGAAAAAATTGTTGCCACCGGCAGAAACTAATCAACAACAATATTTCTCATATGATAATAGTTTAATAGCAGCTTCTTTTACGATACCACCACGCTCTAATTCGTATAAAAACAATGCAAGTACACAGAGGCAGCACCAGCCACAGGACACGCAACAACGGCGTTATTTAAACAATAGTTCAGATTTTCGATCTGAACAGGAGATACTCGGCTCACAACGAATTTATTCGAATAGTAATCGTTTCAATCAACAGCAATCGCGGCAGACACAACCTGAAAAAATGGATTCAAGGCAAGCAGCAGCACCGTTACGACCGTGTTTAATCTGTGGACGGCCGAATCATCGGACAATTAATTGTTGGCATAAAAAAAAATTAAACCATTTTTAAGTACGGCACCTTAAAAAATAGAAATGGTTTCGAGAATTGAAACCATTTCTATACCTTTTTTAGGTTCTGTACGAACAAGGCTTCGTATGATATCTTTTTTCCCTGCTCTCAGAA